GTNTGATATGCTTTCGGATTCGTATATTTGAATTTTGATCCAATCAGAATTAAAACTGTATTTACTAGGTTTGGTATCTAATGCAATCAAACAGACTGTTATGAAAAAGACAGTTAAAACGAAATGAATGGTGAACAATATTCAGATTAGATTGTCGAATTTTTCATGTCACATTTAGTTCACATTTCAATACCAATCACATTGTTTTTTTTTGTTCTCAAAAACATTTCTAAACAGGCCCCCTTTTATGTAATCCTCTTGATGGTGTCATAGCTATTTATAGAATAACTTTTGTGAATGATCACTATTGGTGAAAAAGGAAACTACAATCGTTCGCACAGATATAGCCTAATGCATTTGAATAAAAAGCTATTGTAAACGTAGCTAAGATATTCTAAATAAATAAACCTAAATTTAGTTCCCTAATCCTTTTCATAATGCACGGTTAATACTTATACTTTGTGTTAAGGTGTTCCAAATGGACAGGGTCATAAGACGGAACAAAAATTAGAAATTGGAAGTCTGACAATCTGTTGGTCTGGATCTGGTGGACTTTTTTTCTTCAAAAATGTTCGTTTATTTGTTCGTTTATCTGGAATCAATAAAGAATAGCAATTGGCGATAGGTAAGTTTGCCATATACTGATTGGTACGGTGGCTCACATACGACATATTTCACTTTTAATTTTGAATTAAAAACATTAATTTTCACCTAGGTGACACATTTTATTTTAAGTGTACGTCTTGGTACATGAAGTCGGACATTGCATGAAGAGGTTTGATCGTGGTAATTTAAGTATTACAGGTGCAATTCCAAGTTTTCAACACATTATGTTTTATAACCATACAAGCATGGATCTTGTTGGGTGTCTGCAGTTTGGAACTTGAAACCACAAATTACACTGTTTCAGGATTCGACAAAACCACGAACGCACTCTTATATCTTATATAGATCATATATAAGACATCGTATATAAATACCCTGATTTAGGAGAGACTGTAACTGTTTAACATATTATGCATTTACAATTATTCCTATTCTAAATATTTTGGCCATAGTCGGCAGTACGGCACGTATAAGGCCTTCATGACATGACAAACTTCGTTTGTTCGACCATATACATGTGTGAGAAAAATA